ATAATACTTAGTAATGGATATAGCTCACACCAGGATGCCTATGTGGGTTCCTATTGAGTTGCAAGAGAGCAAAATTAGCTTTAAATCATACAGCTTTACATTTAACATTTGCACAATACTTGTGCTTCTTGAGGTTGATAGAGAGCAAAGGGATGTTGCTGAACTGAACAGTACAACATGTATAGGGCTCACAGTACTTTGAGATTGTAATTTAAAATCGCTGCATCTACAACATCTAGTTCTTGCACATTTATTTCATATAATCTAATGTACATTTCTTAGACCCATCATTTTGTGTGTCAGTTACTGCTTGAATAAGGGCAGCCTTTTGTATTTTCCTCATTTTTGTGACCATAACACCCTATCTGCTAGATCAAAGATCAACTACTTATTTCAGTTCCAAGGATTGCCTGGACTTTGCCTTATTCTTCTGTGTCATTTCCTATTGACATGATTATTTCTGTCTTGCATCTTTCCCTAATCTCTATGTTCCCACACATTATGATTTGAAAGCATCATCATTTTCTTACTTCTCCCACACTGCAAAGGAATTGCCACTGTAATGCCACTCTTTCACATCCTTTTCTCAAAAAGAACTTGCTAGTGAGTTAGGTCAACGTGAGCGTATCATGTTTGTCTTTTTCTTTGTTAGTTTACATTTGTTGCAGCTTACTAGATTCTTGGCTGTTAGGGATGAGTCCCATTTTTGGTTCATTCTGAATCCTACAGTACAGTCTGGGGGGTGGCACCTGCGTACTACTGTAGTATAAATAATAATTACATTGTCCAGTAAGTTCCTGCAGTGTTTCTGCAGAAAGAAATCCTTATGTCACCTCTTTCTGAGGTTGTCTGCTGGACTAGTAACAGGAAGAATTGATGATAATCTTAATTGTCCTTTAAGAAAGCACAGCTGCTGGGGGAATACTACTAATATATAATGAAACTCTTACAGACTTGTTAATCACAATATTCTCCAAGCAGCAGCACAAGCTCCAGAAGGCTATGCATATTTTTATTTTCAAAAGAAGCATTTATTTCTAAACAAATCTTCCTCTTCTTACACACCTTTAAGTCTTTAATGCTCCTATTTACTTTTTATTGCGTATTTTGCATTTTCATTTTATGTCCTTTCATTTCACTGTCTGATAAACCTTCCAGAGTACAGCACTGCAATGTTTGGAATTACTTAAACTTCAGGGGAAAAAATATCCTTGGAGTCCTCTTATCTGTCCACTTGGTGCCTATTTTTTAAATGGCTGTGCAGCAGCAGACTGTTCCACTGACATGAAAGGTTTGATAGTGATTCAGAAACAGTAACAGACTGAAATAGCCCAAAGTGAGAACAGAGGTTTAAGGTCACTTGTAAGCTACAAAGCTAAGGCAGAAGGAGAAACATGAGGAATTTCCAATTTCATGATTTCTCTGAAAGGATTAAAAATAAATAAATAAAGACATAAATGGAGGTGGTTTTTGTTATTTTGGGGGCTTTTTTTTTTGTATTGTATCTAATGAAACTGAAATCTTGGTAGGGAGAGGGCATGTTTTCCATGGCCTCATGAGCATGACTCTGTAGTGCAAGCATGATCCTTATAAGGCCCTTTCAGACACAGGGCATACGATATGACCTGATCTTTGTTCTTATATGCTAAACCATCGTAGCATAGATCCAAAAAGGAACAGGATCCACTTCAGGGCTACCCAAGGTCATGGTGCACCACAGTCCTCGGACCAGTGGTGACATGGAAAGAAACTGTAGGAAGAAGAGGTATAGCAACACTGCAGCAGAGGAGAACAAGCTGGTAGGAAATGGTGATAACTTCTGAATTGCCTTTCAGTATATCTCCACTTGGCTGTGAGTAGGAGGACTTCATTTAAAACTAGATATACTGACAGCTGCTTTTATATAGGAGAACATTTTTTTTTTTCAAAAAGAACACCTTTTCAAGTAATTTTAACTTTGCTTTTGAGTACAGAGCACAAAGGTGGGAGAATGAGGTTTTGTTTAAACAGGAGAGTTATAAGAAGTGAGGTACAAAATACTTTTAGAATTGGACATGATATGTCTCCTGTCATTGCTGCAAAACCCCGAACATGCCTGAATGCATGCTGTTATCTAATTTGTGTTGGAAGAAGCTGAAGGAATATTCGAAGAATTCCTAATATTGCTTTCTGTTTGCAGTGGTGCTCACATGGCCCATCCTTGGTAAAACGGCCTGGAAAGCAACAGCTGTTAAGGTAGGAATGTGATTTTAAGCATCCAAAACTGTCTGAGAGTGCGTGTGCTACTGCTGATCGTGTTAAAGGGGATGACAACCATCAGCCAGATTAAACAGTAACCACAGCATTACAGAGTTTGAAGCAAGGAAGGTGCCAGGTTGGAAAGAAATGTAAGGGACAAATGAAACTTTGTAATAGCAGGGAGAACAGTGAGAACAGAACAGGCAGTCAAAACCAGAGGAGTTGCGTTGGACCCTGTTGCATGTTCACCTACTGGCATCAAAACCTCTGGCTGGGCCAGGCAGAGCAGAGCATTCTCCCTGTGTGACTCTGCCAGCACCCAGCTGTGACAGTGCAGAGTGTAATAGGTAGGGACCCACAGCTGGTGGGTTGTGAGCTTGTGCTGCTTTCTCCCTAGGGGATGCTTTACCAGGTTGTCGGGTGCAGCACAGGTACACATTGAGCACCCCCATCTCCTACAGAAAGTATGTGTGAGAAGTGGACTGTGTGTATAACTGTGGGTGGGTGGGTGCACAGTTTTTGTGTGCATGGTTAGAACTTTGGGGCACTCGTGAAGAAATGTCGTTTAGAAATGTCTGGTGATGATTCTATGATGCTGTGATTCATTAAGTTCCGACTTTATTTCCATTTAGTTAGGGTAGGTTTAATCAATGACTTTAAGATCACGAATACAAGATTGGAAAAGTCTGAGTCCAGTCCCTTGCTTTATGATTGAAGATGGTTTCTTTGCATAGGCCTACATTACACCTGTGCAAAGATTACTTCAAAACCTCACTAGGTTATGCGAGTCTTGTAATTTTCAGCTTGAATTTATTCATAGGAAGTTTATATCTCTCTGCAGTTGTATGCTGATGTTGTAGTTTCAACACTGCCGTATTCATAGAGAGCAGTCAGGAAATTTATGGTACATTTCCAATTCAGTTCCAGTTTTGGTTCAGCTGTAGCGGAAGGTATCTTTGGCTGTGTTTCAGGCCCATAATGATTTGGCAAGTGGTTTAATAACCCAAAAGCATTTTTGGAACCACTTTGATATCAAAAGATGCAACACTTGAAGTTGGAGAAATTTTGAAACCCATGCCTGCAGCATGGAGTTTTACAGCTAATTGGTTTGAGTCACTGTCTCTGGGTTGGAATCTGAGTGCCTCCCAGCGTTCCGCCTCAGTGTTTTTCCTGCTTTCCAAGCTTCCCACAGTGGTTGACGAATTGAAAAGCAGCAGTGTGAAAAACAGGTAGTACTGCTGCTGTGACAAAGTTGGACCATCCTAAGTTCCTCACCGCTGCAAGAAAACTGTCTTTTGCCTCCAGCAATGCACTGGTACAGAAGCAGGTAAAAGCATGCATGTATGGTAGTTCAGTAAGACTGGTGCAGAGAAGACAAGTGGGATTGTTGATGCAGTGAGAGCACTTCTGTCTGCAGCAGCACACGGTTCTCTACCACAGAGCAAAAGGTATTGAAGGTTTGGGCAGTGAAGTTCTGTGTGGAGCTTTGTTAAAACTCAGGCAGGTGCAAAGAAGTATCTTTTTACTGACCAGTTATGCACCAGTAAGTGCAATTTCATGCAGACCAATCGTCACAGGCCATGGAGTTCATTCTCCACATAGGAGTCACTCAGCAAGAAAAAGGAGAAGGGAAAGGAAGAGATTTTATGCTGTCTAGAAGAGTTCTTGTAGATGGGACAGCTGAATGCCAGTTTTCGCTGAGGCCATTTAAAATGGTTCTAGCTGCATTTTGAGAATAAAGTTTTAACTGCTTTGGAATTCAGGTTTGATTTGAGTTCTGTTGTCTAAACACACTGGTTTTTATCTTTTATCGGTAGATTAAGCTGGTGATTTTAAGGGTATGTTATGTGGTCTTTTGTGAGTATATACAAATCAGTCTGTGCTCCACGCTAGTAAGACATCACTACTATGGGGTATCTGGTGTGCAGCTGTTTTATGTCCGTATCCCAAGAGCACTTTGCACTCTTGAATTGTTTTTTCCTGATTCTCAGTATCAAATAATTATCTTCCTATGATCCACTTTTTCCACTGGAGTGCACTTCTTATAAAGCCAAGAAATTTAATGAAAATATTAATAAAACTGTTGCTTACCTGAATCCTTGAGGAGTTCCTCTGTTAACACAGATTGCCATACTGTTCTTCTTTTACCACAACCTTTATTACTTTTCTTTGGATATTTCATTACCCATCTTGCAATTCATTCACATCTTTTCCATCTCATAATTTCTTATGTGATACTGAAACAAGTGCTTCAACATCACCTAAGTTTATTTTATCAAGTATTTGATCGAGTACATTTCCATTGCTCTTACACAAGAAGCAGGGGTTAGTAAGTCACTGTGGATTTTTGCTGCCTGCTTTTTATTTCAAGTGCTTTCAACATAGATCTTGAATGATACGCATATAATAAAGTTAATTTTTACACGCATGTAACGTGAGTTTCGGGTTTTCAACTAAGCATGTAAGATGAGGAATCACAAAATATTTTATTTGTGCAGCTTCTTTGGGATACCAAGAGAAATGAGCTCATCTGAGGATAGAATGGATTAATCTGGAAAAAAAAATGAGGAAAGATGTCAAACCAAGCAGAGCAGAGGGAAGGACTGTGTCACCCAAAACTGTGTTTGAAGCATTTGTTTATTTATTCATTTGCAAAGTTTGGAGGGGGAGGGGGAAAAAAAAAAAAAGAAACATTTGTATGTTGCAAGAGGATTAGGGGAAGTGACTGCTGAAACCGGAGTATAAATGCTCTGCAAGGTCAGTCCCTGGAACAGTTAGTGAGGAAAATGATTGGAAATAACACAAAGTAATTAAAACAAGTAGGCTAAGATACTAAATCTGTTTGAGTTTCTGAATCTCTAGGATGTCGTTCCTGGGCTACACAGCTCTGGTCTTATGCTGGATATATTGTACTGCAGAAAGAGGTAAGCTTTAATGTGGCAGAATAAAACTCAACCCTTTCTTAAAGTGTACATGAAGATGGTAACTAAATATGTAAATAAAATGTTTGCATTGTAGCTATTTAATGAACTGCTGACTACAATAATTGAGATATTTTCTGGCAGTATTTAGCGCCTTTAGTACTTAGTATCCTGTGATAGGCGTTATTTCACCTATTTTTTTTTTATAACAACTGTTGTTATTAATTTGTTGCACAACTTTTTAATGGTTGCAATCCTTATAAACTAGAGGAAGACAACTCATTTATTATTAATTATGCTCCTTAATTTTAATATCTAAACTCTGTAAAGAGCTGGTAGATCAAAATAATTCAATAAAAAAGCATTTCTTTCTGCCTAGAAGAATCTGTAAAATCGTCTCAGAAAGAGGAATAATTGCAAAATTGACTGAAAAGCTTACAAAATATCTGTTGACTGACAGACTAGTTTGAATCCATTAAATGGTATAGATAAATGTATACAGGTATGCTTTCATTCGTGTTTAAAGAGTTAGCAAGTATTCTGGGATCCTTTTCAGAGGCCTCTGGTATTTTCTGTTTCTCTGTTCAATTTATTTTTTCTTGATGCTGTGCTTATATTGTTTAATGTATGTTTAGAAATTTTTCTTTTTTTTCTTTGCCTTCTATCTGGGTTTCTGTACATATCCTGTTGGGGGAAGGATGTTTTGTGGTTTTGAGCTGGTTTTGAGCTAGTTTTGAGCTACTGTGTCTTTGCTTGGTTCAGGTTGTTTTTAATTTTAGGTGAGGTTGATGAAGACCTTATTAATCAAAGCAATCTGATTGATTTTACTTTGAAAAACTGAAAAATCAGGACATTACTGAAATGTATCATGTTTTTTTATGTATGCTTATAATAAATACTGTTCCAAAGCAACTAACAAAGTCTAATTTCTTTGGAAAAATGTCCAGTAAAGTCCTGAAATTTGAAATGAAAGTTTGCCTGAATTTGCACTTCCTTTTCACAGTGCTTCCTTTAGATCAGGGAGATTGCAAAGGAATGTGAATGTAGCAATATTTGATTTATCCAAGACAAGTATTACCAGGGTTCTTAGTTTAAGCGTTATGTTGAATGTCTACGTGAGTTGTTCAAGAGCTGGGTTTTTGCATAAGAGTTGAAAAATACTTCTACCTGAATTCATAGTTTGTGCATGACGTTATGGAAGTTGCTACCAGCACAATGACAGCAAGAAAGCAGCTTGAGCTATAGCTATTTCTCACTGGGTTCAAGTCACATATTAATAGTAATTGATTAATTCCAGCTCTCCTGGTCTCTCACTAAAGGATTTGAAGGTATGCGTTTGGTGCAAGCTTTCTAATATAAAAATACAACCCTTCCAGTTTTGGTGAGTGCACATGGCGAGGTGTGTGATGTAATTAATACAGTTTAGAAGTACATCCCATCAGCAGATTTTTCCTTTTCAAGCTACTTAGAAACTGCTTTAAAAAAAGAGTAATTAGCTGTAGTCAGAAATGTATGTACACACTGTAACACCTGATGGTAACATGGTTTGATATGGTTTGACACCAGGGCAGGGGTGGTAAGGAACAATCTGAGAGTTGAAATTAAACTCGGAAAGAAGCATGTCTGAGTAATGATGAAGAGACTAAGGCAATTCATTTTCACACCTTTTTTTTCTTCCTATGTGAAAAAGGAGTTAGAAGGCACCATTCTGCACAACAGATAATAAAAATATGATAAAACCCAGAAGTGAAGAATAGAGCAGAGAAGCTCTCCTTGTACTAAACAGCTTCATTTTAAAATCACATAAGAGCATGCTTTCTCACCTTGCAAACTGAAAGCACAAATTGTAAAGAGTTCTGGTGAAAAATACGTAGAATTGGAAAACTTCCTTTCTCACTATTACTGTGAAAAAACTGTGTGCTTTTTTTTTTTTAAGTAAACTAACTATTTTTGACACATTTGAAAGGCAGAACTAGCTAGAGTAGTAGTCCTGTTCAGTTCACTCATTAGAAGGTGAGCGAGTCTTAACCCTGCTAAGGCAGAACTCCTTCCTGCCTTTTTCGATAGTATAGCAGTACCCTCTAGTGAACAGGACCTATAATTTTTACTTAGATGTAATTCTTAGGAGGGAGAGTAGTTATTAAAGTAGTTGGAAAGAACCTGAATGTGAGAGCATACTCTTCTGTTAACACCTCAACAGTATCATCAAAGCTTGTCTGCTTCTTATGGCTACTTAAGACAGCCAAAATAAAGTTATTGGATCTCACAATTAGCACTCTTTATATTTTTCCAAAAGGCTGTAACTGCAGAACACTTAAAATTCTGCAGCTTTTTTTCTTGATCTTTAAACAATTTTCTAAAAATGTGCCTCTAATGTGGTAGGTATTTTGCTGACTGAAATAACAACAGTGAGTGTTCAAGGGGATGTCTTTGCACAACTAAAGTAAAATCCACATCCACACTTCGATGCGGAAGAATAACTCTTTAATCTGCTCACATTGTATTAGAAATCACAGCTCCTTAATCTGGCTGCGATTTCCACAGTTTAGGTCAGCAGGCCATAACTCCACATCCCTTGCATGAGGAAAGATCCTAAATATTTTTTCTGTAGTCCCACTTTGAGGCAGCATCCAAACAATCCATAGGAAAGCATCAGTGAGAGTATTGCTGCTCTCTCAAACTCTGGCTTTACAACAAAACTGGTGAGAGGACTTTTGTGCCAGCTTTCTACTGTGCGATGAATTTACTCACTAAGAAATATCCTTCCCTGGTCGATTAGTTTTTTTCTATATAGTGGTTTCATTTCTTTTCCAGGGCTGCATTTCTCAGAGATTCTTTCATTTATTCTTGATGAATTCTCATCTTTCATGTTCAGATGTAAAACAAACTTCACTATATCTGATTCGCTAGACTGTCAAGACTCTATTATTCTGGGTAAAGCTTCAGTCTGTAAAATAAGTGCATTTCAGTCACTCGAGCACAGAGAATTAGTGACTGAAATTAGGTCAACTATTATAAATAAAACAATAAAATAATGTTACTTATTAAAGATCATTTAGTCTTTCATTAACGGCTTCCCAACATTTGTTTCTTTCCCCCTTAGTTTGTTTTTTCTCATCCTCAAGCTGTTGAGGTACTTCTTAATAAAATTAATTCAGGCTTATTTCTTGTAACTCATATGGGCTTGGCTGTACATTTCATGGACACTGAAGAAGTCCCAGGAAAGTGCTTTTGGGGAAGGACTCTATAGTACTGGACTAATGAGAAATATTGAACAACAACATCCCCCTCCCAAACTGAGTCAAAATGTTTTGAAGCTAACGAAGGTCAAAGTGAATACCCAGAATTAATCGCATCGTGCATTAAGTAACTCATGGACATGAGGAAATAAGTTTCAGAATATCAGGTGGTCTCAGCTTAGAAAGAAAACGGAGGCATCTAAAACTGAGGGGGGCTTTGGCAGACCTTGATCAAATGACACATGGAGTTAATGTCAGTAAGGATGGTGGTGGCTACAGAAGAAAATAGAAACTTGAAAGGAATCTACAGAGTGCATAGAATTGTTCCCTGTAGCAATAGAAGGACAGGCACAGGGACTCCTGCAGATGGAAGTGTAAAGGGTGTCTGTGGTTATAACCAGGGTAGTAATCTCATCTCAGTCTTTGTCACTAAAATCTATTTTATGAATTAAGACTTTCCCGTGTGGTTTCTTGGTACTTGCTTGACTATTTTTATGTCCTTCTAAATATGTCTTCGTATTCCTACAATATATGGATTCTTGGCAGTTTCTTGTTTTGTGAGATTAAGTAGAAAACATGCTCATTTGATCACAAATGTCCCCAGGATTTCTTGCTACATTTTCTATTGTAAAATTATTTTAGTGTTTGTAGTATGTGCTTCAGTCACCAATGTTTTCTGTTTACAATTTTTAGCTTGCAATGAACCCCCACCTAGGAGGATTAAAGAAGTGCCTACTGAAAGGTGGGACAAGCCTCCCTATCCACATGGCACTAAAGTAACATACAGATGTCGGCCTGGATATATAAAACTTGGACGAATTGTATTTGAGTGTGGTGATGGAGAATGGAAGCAACTCCCACCAGCGACAGAATGCAGAAGTCAGTATTTATGCAAAATACACGCAACCATTTGACTTGACATTTCACATTCCTTGCCAGTATTGTCAGTATGAAATTGCCATTGTATCCTTGGCTGTAACTAACTTATTTCAGCATCCTTTAAAATATGGTCTGGAAAAGTATGTATGCATAAGGAAACATTTTTGGAAATTTCTTTTCTTCAGATCAAAAGATTATCATTTTCTTTCTTTACTGATTTATGTTGCTATTAGGTTGGGTTATGAAGTTATTAGGAGCTTGCTTCCAAAATTTCTGAAAAGGTCTAATGCAGATGAAATTTACAGTCTAAGCAGAATAAAGCACTCGCCTAGCTTCTGAATGCAAGTCAAGAGCCAGCATTGCCTTCTTTCCAGTTCATTCAAGTAGTTCCATGAAAGATATAATTTCTTGAATTTAAAATTATTTTTCCCTTCCTTTTCTTTTAATCTGTGAAGAAAAAATTCATCATTAGTAAGAGAGCTGTTATTTATTACCTCTAATATACTATGTGAAAAGTTTAAAAGTATCTCACACCCTCATACAGAATTCACTAGTGAAGAAAAGTTTATTATTGTTAGTCAGCAGATACTTCTTTTCTGTAATGTTAGTTTTACACACAAAGAAGTTTTAGGCTCATGAGGTTCTTTTCCTTGCATATCTGACATACAAAATGTGTACTAGTAGAATATAGTGTTTGAGTTGATAATATAAATTTAAGTCCCAGGTGTCATTCAAATAGAGACAGATATAAATCATGAGTAAAAATAAATTCATGAAGTTCTTACTTAGTTTCCTTTAGATCTTCTCAGTTTTATATGTAATTGTATACCAGCCATTCAACAAGGATCTTTCAAATTATACTAAATTTGGGGTTGCTTTTAGTCATACTTCTTAGTAAATACCGCCACCAAGTGAATAGATGGTGACACTGGCAAGGTGCAGGTTGAAGGAGAAAAGGGATGGTGTGCCACAGATTAAGTGATCGTGTTCCCCTTTCAAGATAAACCACACTAGACAGCGACACTGATCATGAGGTTGTCCGTTTTCTCTGAATCACACTGGAGCAGGGTTAGAATCTATGCAAACACCTCTTCCTTGATGTTTGAAAGGCTCATACTCAATAGTAATTACTAGGAAAGTGCTGTATTTCACACTTTCACATTCCTACATATGGTGTAAGTAATTTCTTTTTCTTCTGCTGCTTCTGTTTGCTTGTTGTTGTCATTGTTGTTGGTTTTGGTTTGGTTTGGTTTTTTTACCAGATAAGCCCTGTGGACATCCTGGAGATACTGAGTTTGGTTCCTTTGAACTTACCAGTGGAAGTGAATTCGTGTTTGGTGCCAGAGTGGAGTACAGATGTAATGATGGGTAATATTTATTTAACTTAATATATGAGAGTTAATAGAAGTTGTTAATTATAGTGTCAGTTATAAAATTGTTGTCTGTAATGCAGCTGCAACTTAATAGTAATGCTTGATTATTGTTTAAATTTCTGCAATTACGGTGATGCTAAATAAAACTCATTCTCATGTCTGGTGCTATTGGAGTAACTGACCTCATGCACCTGAAGCTGGCACCCAAAGTGTCTAAAGTACCTAAGGCTGTAGCTAACTTGAAATCATGGCTGGCTGAGCAGAAAGCAAAAATAGTGATCTCTCTGTAAGGCTGCCTCGTGTCTGCACCAGCCAGCCAGTTCAGACGGAAATGCAGCTTTGTGTGCTGGAAGCAGTGCTTTCAGTAGGCAGTCTTGATGCAGTTATGTTAGCAAAGACATTAGTCTCATATTTAGAACCACAATTTATCAGTCCTGCTTAAATGATTTTATTTTCTTTTTCTTTTTACTTTGAAGAAGAATGCATTGTAAAACATGTTTGAAGGAAGACATTTCTGTAGACTCACTAATGTCTTCACTGACTGGCTCCTCCTTTATTCATCTTCTCCGATGAAAACTGCAGTAAGGCAAATACATAGTGTAGTGCTTAGTTAAGGATGCCTGGGACTGGATTTTTAGTTCGTGAAATGTAAACCAGCTATGGCAGTTTAACCTTGCTTTTGTAGTCTTTGCATTTCTGAAATCTAGTCAGAATTCAACAGAAAAAAATTCCAAAATCAATCGTCTCCTTAATCCCAATATTTCAGCCCATTCTTCACCGACCTTTCTAACCTGACCTGACTAACAGTGCTTCCTCTAGCTACAGTTCAGACAAGGCAGAAGCCACAGCATTGTGGCCATGTTGCCCTCAAACCTAAAATAGTACTAGGTTATCAAAGCATGAGATACGTATGGTTCGGATTAAGTCCTATTTTGATGCTATCGCATGGTTTTCAGTCATACTAGAGCACAAACAACAGGAATTTCACTCTGCTTGCCATTGATCATGTAAATTATCCCTAGGTTATTTGTTCTGTAACCAAAGCTTGCTATCTCTGTAATGAAGAAGCCATTATACTGATTACTTCTTACTTCCAGATTATTTTTTTATTATTACTTTTTGCCATAAGCAATTAAAATAAGGAAAATAAGGAAGGGGCCAGCTGAAAAACTTCTCAGTTTTGGTTAATCTGTGCTAGAGCATATGAAACCTACATCGTTTGCTTCAAAACCAACAGCACTGCTGTTCCTGTCACGTAAAGAGACTGTATTTTAGCATTGTTTACTTTTTATTCGGTAAGATACTGGATGCTCAGCCAGAGAAATTACCGTGAGTGTCAGGCAGATGGATGGAGCAATGACATCCCTCACTGTGAAGGTAAATGAAGTTTGACATTTAGTTCTTTAGCAAGCTGTCTTTTTATCTATCTGATACTGTCTAGAACTAGTCTGTGATCTCTCTACTAGTATTAATTCACATATGTTTAAATTCAAGTTGTACAGCAATGAAACTTACAATTACTGCTCGGCCATTTTAGTTCAATAACCACTCGGGATTTTATTGAAAAGCATTCACAAAATAGACTCTTGTCACCCCAGACTGCCTTAAAGCTCAGCCTCATCTAAAGGCCCTGGTGGAGTAGATGCCTGCAGAACATGGTTACAAGAGACAATTGAGATGAGGCATTTTGGATGTATGTGAAAGGATGTGTGTTTTTACCTAGCCTTCTCCTCCACCTCTGCGAATATCCTAGCCATTAGGATTTTATTGTAAGTTCTCCCTATTAGCATACTGTGGAAGAACTTCAGTAAATAAGAATGGATAGTCTGTGTTTTCACATTTCCTTGGTCTCGGGTACTCCGCGTTTAGTTTAGTAGATTTTGAATCTCCTCAGTTTTAGGCATGCAGGTCTCTGTCTGCGCAGTGCAGAGCAACGATTTCCAACATTTTCTGTCACGTGTCACCAAGAAACTGCAATTTCAAAGTCCTCATAAGATTTTTCTTTCATGATTGAGGAGTTTGTATAATGTCCTAATCGTGAGGAAAGTAGAAGATAAAATGTGAGCTCACAGAAAAGGTTCATAGACTTATAAGATGGCAAATGCTGTCACAAGGTGGAAGCTCTGGTAGACAAAAAGCAGCCACTTGCTCAGTGATATCCATGTGAGCATTTAAGAATGAGATTTGGTAGACATTTCCCTCTTAATAAAAAATATCTAATGACATGCTAATTCTTCCTTTTTCTGCAGTTACAAAATTAGGAGATGATAAGAGGTCTAAGTTCATGGCTGATATTGTGTTTATTTACTTTGGTAATATAATGTCCTGATAATATATAATTGTTTTGGTAATATGATTGTTCTGTTAAATTAACCTATTTTGACGAATTGGCCCTAAATGTCAGTCAAGGCTTACCTAACTATCCATAGAATTCATAGGATAATTTAGATTGCATGAAACCTTAGGAGGTCACCTAGTTCATTGGGTGCTGTCTTTAACCTTCAAGGGCAGAGAAGAGGATTGATGAGATCCTGTCTGCAAGCTTCCTCCTGTGACAGTCTGTCTTTTTCCTTAGGGTTTTGTACTGTATGTGTTGCAAATAGTATCTGAATACTTAACAAGAGTGTATATTTCTAAAATGTGCAAGGAAATTACAGTGAGTTTTCTGTATTTTAACTTCTTTGTCTGACAAATTATTTTATAGAATAGACCTCAAAATGGCTGGGCTTTTTTACTTTTGTTTCACTTTGTTTTATTTTTCCAGTGGCAAAGTGTTTACCTGTACAATCACCAGAAAATGGAAGAATAATTACAACTGGTGCATTTGAGCTTGGCCAAGAATATTCCTTTGGCCAGGTTGTAAAATTTGAGTGTAATGCAAAATACAGGCTTGTTGGATCTAAAGAAATCATTTGCTCTTCTAATGGAAAATGGAATAGTGATGTGCCTCAGTGCCAAGGTAAATAAGACACTATTTATTATCTGTAATTAAGAAGCTTTGTTCTCACAGATTTGTAAGGATTGGTTACTATATAGGAAACTACAAAGCTTTCACTTTATTTTACAGCAATTAAGCCTTGCTTGGCTGTAAACACTCTCCACTGCATATGTGCAGTAGAAGTAGGATAAGAAAGAGAAATTAGAGAATATTGGATGCTAATATATTCATAGTGGACCATCTGTTTGTTCCACATTTTCACTACAAGCTGTATGTTTTGCCAGGCTGCAGGTTCTTTGAAAATAGCTTTGGTATGTCTACATAAGAGTCAATCACTTCAGTGTTGATTTAACCAAAGTAATCACAAACAATTTGAATCTATGTGAACCAACTTTAAAAAGTGAGTATGGTTTTCATTCACCCATATAAAATACAAAGAAATCATGACGGATTTTGTTTTCCTTCAGACTAATCCCTTTTGGGAAGTTAGACGGTTAACTCATGTTTAGTTTTAATGGAACCACAGAATACGGCAGGTTGGAGGACCCCTGAAGGTCCCACAAAGCAATTAGCTAGGGCAAGTTGCTCAAGACCATGTCCAGTCAGCTTTTGAACATGTCCAAGGATGGAGACTCCACAGCCTCTCTTGGGTAACCCATTCCAATGTTTGACCACTGTTAAGTAAAACTGTTTTTTCTTACATTTAAGTAGCATTTCCTGTACTGTAATTTCTGCCCACTGCTTCTCATCTTGTCACTGGGTGCCAATTACTTCATCATCTTTACTTCTGCCTGCCGCGCCACAGGCAGGAATTAACACATGTAAATAAGATCCTCCCTCCTCCTCAAGCTCTCTTCTCTAGACTCTAAGTTGTGTGAGATTGGATTGTCAATATTTAAGAATGAATCCTAGGAAGCTAATGGTAACAAAGACCATCAAGTTTCTTAAACTATTTGTAAGTTATCTAATTGGGAAGCATGTGTTTAGAAGAGCAGAGTACACGTCAGGATGTCAGATACATGTATGGTTTGTTCACACTTTCAGTGCTTCATTTTGCTGCTTTGAAACCCCCATTTATTGGAATTTGAATAGCATAAAGTGGGAATAAACACAATTGTTAGTAACTTTTGCAGAATATAGTTAAATTCTTTCTTCATATTAATGCCATGATTTAACTGATCGTCAACTGGCTATGAGAGAGCTTTAGATTTGCTGGAAATTACAAGGAAATGAAATAATCTGAAAAAATGAAATTCCTAAATTTCAGCAGCCTAGTTACTTAGTTCAGAATGTCCCCTGCCTTATATTATACTGATTCTGAGATCCATTAAAATCCAAAGCAAAGCTTTGAAATCTGATTCACAAGCCAATTTGCTATTGATGCTGTGCTGTGCCACACTTTCTACCCAGCACCCACAGTGAGGTCGCTGAAGAGTTTTCAAATAAGATTCAAACAGTTTCCAAATGCAAATGTTTTTTTTGGAGTTAAATGAAAAAAAGAAAAAAAAAACAAAACAAAACAAACAAACCTTAATTTTATTTACATAGGGATTTATTCTTATTAAATAAAAGCAAACAAAAATATATGGATATTGTCTTTCTCAACTTCAGAAATTATCTGTGATGTGCCAAAAATTCCGCATGGATATGTACAGTCTCCAAAGGCATCTTACAAGGAAACTGAACAACTACAGTTTACCTGTGATAAAGGATACAGATATGGTGAAAGAGCAGATGCACGATGTACAGCAGCAGGATGGAATCCAACCCCCTATTGCACTGGTATGCCTTACCTAAAGTTATTTATTTGGCACATTTTTTGTGTTTGGAAGTAATTTCAGAGATTAGTAATGACAAAAGTTAGTTTATTTATAAAAGAAGAAATCCGTCCACATCTGACCAATATCCCATGAAGATCTGAAAGGATTGTTAAGTGCTAAAGAGACCAAACAACTAGATAAAGAGTTTTTCATGAAAAGCAGTAGCAAAACCAGTTAATTTGGTCTTTTTTTAACTTGTGTGTAAATATAAATAAATAGGTCCAAAAAGCAACAATTGTGCCAGTATACTGCATAAATGAGACTAATGCTAAAGTACTTCATGCAGCATTAATAGCTGTTGTTGTTTTAATCTTTTTTTATAGGATTCAGAATTAGTGGGAAGAATACAGGAAGAAAAATCCTAATTTGGAAAATTAGGAAGGAAAAAGCTGAATGTCTTTGCCTTCTACAAAAAGTGATTGAAAACCTTTTATCCAAGGAGTAGAAAAATCCAATACTAAAAAGCATAATTAAGCAAACAGGAAAAAATAGGTGTTAATACCAGAGAAATCCAAACTACAGAGGGAATCTGAAATCTTTAGTGGCATGGGAAAATTAACACTTGAAACCAACTTCTTAGAGAAGTGGTGTGGGTTTTAAAGTCCTATTGTCTTCATATACAGTCTCAACGTTTTTAAAGTGTGTGTAACATGAACAAAACTGGTACAAATCAGTGTACCAGATGGTGCTCTATGTTGGAAGACTAGTTAAAGAATTGTCGTTCAATACCATATGAATTGCAGCAGTATGAATAAAATCAGGTGTCCTGGTTTCAGCTGTAACAGTAATTTTTTCTCCTTCCTATTAGCTGGTGCAGTGCTGTGTTTTGGCTTTAGTCTGAGAACAATGCTGATAATACACCCATGTTTTAGTTGTTGCTAAGTAGCATTTACAGTAATCAAGGACTTTTCAGCCTCTCATGCTCAGCCAGTGAGGAGGGGCACAAGAAGACTGGAAGAAGCAGAGGCAGGACACCTAACTCAAAGTAGCTAAAGGGATATTCCGTACCACAGCATATCATGCCCAGAAGGATAGATCCCTGCTCGGGTTGGTCTGGGTGTCAGTCAGCAGGTGATGAGCAGTTGTATTATGCATCACTGCTGTTTATTGAGGGTTTTTTTCCTTTCCCTTTTTAGTTTTATATCCTCTTGCTCTGTTATTTCCCTTATCATTATTGTAGTACTACTTTTGTGTTACACTTTATGTATTGGACTGTTCTTATCTCAGCCCGTGGGGTTTACATTCTTTCAGTTCTCCTCACCATCCCATCCAGAGGGGGGAAGTTGGCCAGGGGGGCTGCATGGTGCTGAGTTACCAGCTGGGCTTAAACCACACTGTGGAAAAATAATAGTCTTAGCTTGATGACGTACTTCTGAATGAGCACTCAGCATCTCACCCTGTATGAACAAATGGAAGATTTTTGAGCTACTGAACTGGCCTCTGCATTTTGTCTGAGTGTCCTGATGAGTCTTACTGTAGTGTGAGCAGACTGAGCACCTGGCTGCTAGTTATTATATCCATTCTTTACATTTCCAAAGTACTAGCTCTGATCAACTAGTTGTAACCAAAGAACAGTTCAGAAATGATCCCTATTTCACTGATGGAGCTTCAGTAAGAAATTGTTAGTGTATGGTGCAACCTCTCAGAAATGACAGGAAATTACAAAAGTATCCTTCAAATTATCTTTCAAATGAAAATCCTGGCTTAAGTTTATAAACTGCCTTTCCAGAGTTGCTCAGAAATAGTAAGATAGTGTTGTAGAAGGAATACTCTGAAGTTGACATGGCCATTTCCATAGGAGTTCAAGCAAATGTGAAGCAACCCAATTTCAGAACATAAGTACTCCATTGATGACCATAAGTGCATAAGCTAAAAATTACATTGGAATTGTAGTGCTAAATTGTACACAAAGCTGAAAACTTTCTACACAGCCATTATGTCAAGATCTGCGTACAATATAATAATTCATTAACCCTAAGAACCATGGACACAAAATGATGTATAAATGGAGACCAAAGTAACACAGTATGCATAAATCCTGCCACTGTCCATCACTGAAGACAGCAATTTGTTTAATGTCATCAGAACTGCAGTTGCACAACCACATTATCCATGGTGTTGAAACTTCCCATCAGAAATTGTCTGAGAATCTCTACAAATTAATATATTTACAAAGCTGAAACTCCTTCTTGCTTTCTAACTCCCAAATGCCTTCTGAGCACTTACTCGTTTAAGATGATAAATCCAGAATTTCTGAAGCTAGTCCTGTTGGGCATCATCCCTCTGGCTTATGGATCTTTCTTTAGTTTCATTCAACTACAGAACTTAAAGACTGTATTAAAATCTCTCTCCAAATCCCACAAAGAGAAATGTTGTGTCCCAGTTGAAACAATTTGATGTAAATTTGGTGGAAATCAGTTGTGGCTTGAATTCTCTTCAAGGAATTGCCAAATGTTTGAAACTGGAAAAAAAATGTTGGCAACAGGGCAACATTGTAGGCTGTTGTGTGCCACCCACCTTCCTGGGACCTCTTCCAGGAAGACTCCTTTAGAAATATAAAGTAGTCATAGTGCCTACTCAGTTCTTGACCTTTCTGCATCAAGATTAGCAATTATATTAATTAATATGCATTGCCTACAATTTAGCAACATGCTGCTCTTCGGAAATAAAACATTCTCCCAGGCACTGATACGCTGGGCAAAGATATTTGGGGCATATTCAGACACTAGTTCTGGATCCTACCGGACTTATCGCTGAACCTAGATGATTCAGCAGTACATGCATACAGCTGATTCACTCACCTTCACTCCACAGCAAGACCAAGCTGTAGGTACTTTATAGTCATTCCTCCCCAGCCCTGAGTGTGTTAGCGGTATTTTTGAAGCTCTGGTTTATAAATAATATGCTTTCTTGGCTTCTCCAAGCATAAAGATACCATGGGCTCTTTACAACAGCATTCCCATATTTTCTCAGTTGTCAAAACACTTCCATTGTCAGTGCAAGACCCTAATCTTAATCACACAGTCTTTGAAGGATCAGTTCCTAATTTAGAAGTGCAGTTATTTCTCCATTTACAACCTGTCAATGAACCTGTCCTCCTTTGGGACAGTGTTCATTAACCAGCCCTGGAGAGCTGTGAGTGAGCCCAGCATAGGTCATTTTGAGCTCCAGCTGAAAAACGACCTTCTGGAAAAGATGAATCAAATTCAGTTTGATCACTTCTAGTTCTTGCTCGAGCCATTCTCTTTGCAGTTTAGTCTTCTAATTAGCACTACATTGGTAACAGCTGTCAGTCTCCTCTTAACAGCACTGTATGTTTCTAAGAGTGGGAGAGAAATGTAACCTTTTTTTTTCCCTAAGAAACATCTTTTTAACAATTTTATGCAGTTATGGTCAATATACTATGCAAATAAGAACTTATGCAGTAAGTATAAACATGTTCTTCAAATTAGCAACCACTTTTTTCTCTTTTTATTTAGAGATTACATGCTCTCCCCCAAGAATTCCAAATGGGGACTTTAGACCTCAAGGAGACAACTACAGAGAAGGTGATATAATCACAATACAGTGTAATCCCGGATATCATTTTAAAACATTGACTGGCAGAAGCACAGCTGAATGCACCAAGAATGGCTGGGTGCCTGATCCAGGCTGTGTCCGTAAGTAGCTCTCATGAACAAAGACTCAATGTGTAGCATTGTTGGAAATACTTCAGTAAAAAGGAGGTCAAGAGAAAAACTGAAGAAGCATGAGAAACGAGCTGCTTATTCATTGTGCTTCTTTGTGATGTAAAGCTTCATTTGGTGGTGGAAAAATCATCTGCAGAAACAAGGGTATAATCTACACTTACATTATGTTATAAACACAGGTATTATCTATTACTGCATTTGTAAAGTATGTGTTAAAATGTGCTATAGTCAGCTCCCTGTCAGAAAGGTTTATGGCCCACCTGAGGAGTAGCATGCCAGTTAAGGTAAGAGAGCATAGTGAGTATTAAAGCATCCAGACAAAAACAGAACATAGATAATGTTTGAAAGGTATCTTTCATCATAGTTATCACAGTTTTAGACTTTTAGGTGCTGTTGCATGTTAGTATATTATGAACAGTCACAGTTTTATTCTACCTATTATAGCCTGTCAGATAACAAAGCATGATATTCTTGATTGTTGATGAGTTCTTTCTTGGCTTAAACTTCCCTTAACTACAGTGATAGTTTTGCCCAGTAGCCACAGTATTAATGACTGAATAACTAAATCAGGAAGTAGTTTGATAATTAGTGAGCTATCACTCATTGATCTTTGGTCCCTAAAAATAAGAGGAAAACCTAGAATCTGAAAGAAACCCTGCTGAAATCTGTCTTGGGATGAACCTTTGGATAAGATTATTTGAATTACTCCCAAAAAAGTGCAGTTAGTATCTGTATTAAACTTTTCTCTGTATGTTTGTGGGTTCTAAAACTCAGGTGTCATTCTGAGACCACTCATTATTGAATGGTCTGTCCAGTGGGTGATCTCCCCTGCCCCAGCATGAAGGTTTTGGCTTTGGGAGGAAACTACTTGCCATACCCGAGTAGGGCACCCTTGTAAACTTGCATGAAACCTTCTGGGAATCTTCCCCTTCTATCCTTGACTTGTCCCTGAAAAAGGTCAGTTCTTTTGAGGAAATGAGACAACAAAAGAAAAACATTGCAGTTTTAAAATAAAAATGAGAAGAGAGAAGAGCTAGGAAGAACTTTTGGGGCAGGATCCTGAAAGTTACAAATTAAAGTGGTGACAGGAGTCATCTCAATTTTAAGAATCCACTGTTCAGTGTGTATATGTGAGCTAGCTGTCTGGGCTGCCACCATGGTCAGTATAGTAAATTTAGTTGAGACTTTTCTTTGTATTCTACAAAGATAGCGTCATCTCACCATATAGAATAAATACTCCGATTTAGCTGGATTTCTGTTGGTTCCATTGGAGTTGGAGGGGAGCAACACAGGCATAAGCACTGACAAAGACACCAGAAGCAGAGTGTGATTATTCCTGCGCTCCTTAGGATCTGCCAAGTTGTGCAGCCTTGTGTCTGTCAGTTTCAGAAAGCACTCAGTTGATGATGATGAATCTGAATTGTGCCTTGAGCATTTTGTCCTGCATGTGTTGATATTGTTGCTGTTAAATTCTATTTCAAGAGAAACCCTGTGACTACCCCGCTATAGAAAACGGCAGGTTATCTGACTCACTGGAGTACTACAAAAGCTATTACTTTCCAATGAGTTTTGGGCAGCACGCTGATTACCACTGCAATACTGGTTACTCAACTCCGAGTGGAAGGTACTGGGTTCGGATGGTCTGTTCTGAAAGAGGCTGGTCTCCAGAGCCAAAATGCTTCAGTAAGTGCATTTCCATTATATGCTCAATTCTGTCATAGTTATCAAAGGTCTGTGCATCACAAATTGTGCCGATGGAGCACAAGATGGAACAAAGAACAGTTTGTTAAAGTAGAACTGCTTCAGTTGACCCCTGGAACTGCACCCAGACTGTAATAGTATTAGTATTATAACTGCAGTATTGCTTCAGCCATCTTCTTTGTGCTGAAAATCACTCAGGGTAGACATCACCATTTTCAGCCAGAGCCGACTATCCAGAGCTCATCTATATGACTCTAGATGCACTGAAGTTAGCTGAGCTTGTTTATGAGCAACTAGGTAAGCAATATTGCTTAATAGACCACTTCATAGCACCTTATGTAGTGACTTGCACTCCTGTTGATGTGATTCATCAGTCTTAAGGCAGTGCAGCAAAACATGCTTTCATTTCAGTTTGAATGCGAATGTCTTCTGGGGTTGAAGGCTACAGAAGGGTGGCTGTTTTTTGCTGTGTTCCTAAGAATTAATTTACCTGGCTTCTTGCTGCCAAACGTACTGTGGTTAAAGGTACTTACCTTCCTTCTTTAGAAACATGTCAAGTCAGACGCCTGGAAAATGGTTATTTCTCAAGTAGCCAAAGCATTTACAAGGAGGGTGAAAGAGTTAAATATATCTGCAATGATGACTATCAGACTGAACATGAAGATGGGGAAGTCACATGCACAAAGGGTAACTGGTCACCTCGTCCAAGATGTATCCGTAAAAGTGAGTGTCCTTGTATTTTGTTGCCATTTCTAGCTAAAGCCAGTAAATCTATCATCACATCACCTACATTAATCCATCACCACTCTAAGTCTAGGTGCTCCACAACTGGAATGCAATGTTGTGATTCTCTCAACTGTCTTGTGCGGCGCTCATTCCCTGCATGCAGCTGAGGTCGCTCGCTATGTGCACAATGTAACCCTGTAAAACATCCACATGTGCTTCATTCAGGTCTCTGTAAGCTCTGGGATGTCAGCCATAGTCTCTTTGTCTTCAGTAGTGAAATCTTGTTCTAACATAGTAATATAATACAGAGTCATCATTCGCCTTGCACAACTTACGTGTAATGTGTCTCCTTTCAGCCTCCCACCATGCCACCTGATCCTTGTTTCTCTTGCTTCCTTTCTAGTCAGCACCATACTGGAAGGGTGGGGGAATAGGAAGGTTACCTCTCCAAACTCCAGCTTTCGTTCCTAACTTGCACCAAACTTGAAATTGCTAGAATGTCTCACAGTGACTTTAAATACTTTAGAAAATGGTTTTATAGAAAGAAAATTCAACCTGACTTCTCTTGAGCTATAAAAATTTTTTTAGGAAAAAATTCCACCCTAAAAGAGGCACCGACTACAGAATGTTTCATGCTGCCTCCCACTGAGATCTTGAGATAGCAATGAGCCAGCAAAATAAAATCTTATGATTCCTAGGCTATTGTGGGTATCACTGATATAAACCCCCCCAAAACTGATCTGGAGCTTAAACTTTTGCAGCTCTTGCACTAAAGTATCATTAACTCTGCTCCTCGCAGTGAAATATATCCTCAAGAGTTCCTCAAAGTGGGTTTTTTTTTCCCTGTCTTGAATTACTTGACTCTCTAGTGTCAAATATTGCTATTTGTTGTGGTGTTGATTTCTGAAAATGAAGAAACTCTTTCACAGAATGGTTTATTAGTAAGGAATTTGGCATACTGTGAAAGTTTTCTTTCAGAATACAAGACCAGGCCCTGTCCAACCTGACCTTGAATGCTGCCAGGGTTGGGGTATTCACAACTTCCTTAGGCAACCTGTTCCAGTGCCTCACCACCCTCACAGCAAATTCTGTCTGTCTCTTTCAGAAAAGTGCCAGACTGCCTATTTTGACAATGGCTATTTCTCCTCGCAAAAGAGAGAATATAATATACAGGAGAAAGTCAACTACCGCTGTCGCACTGGCTTTGTAACTCCAGAATTACGAGAAACAGGAGCCACAGAGTGTCGAGAGAATGGCTGGACGCCAGCTCCCAAGTGCAGCAGTGAGTAGTGTAAAGTCTTCAGAGCTCCCTGTCACCATCACAGGCACAGACATGATGTACAGAGCTTTTTGTCATCTAGAGACAATTTTCACTGGGCAGAGGGAGACTTAAACCAGCAACTGGTGCTCCAGAGATTGACTTTTCTGGGGCTTCAGGAAGTAAAATGAGAATACGTAAAGGGAGTGACAAAGGCAGGAAAATATCTACTGTCTTCTAGGCGAGCTGTCTTTTTGCCCCTCTGTAGTACAAAGTAGGTGGCAATCACTGACCTCACCAGTGATTCTTACCTGATACAAGGTACATATGCCCAAATTTACTCCCAGTTCTCCCACCTTGCGTAGGTGGAAGATTTATGAAGAAATGCCTGTGAACCAAGGGATTCTTCCATAAACTTTCTTCAAGTGTGACCAAACTAGAGAAAAATGGGGTTCATTATTTAAAAATATGTTATCCTGCATAAAAAGCACTATGTGTATGGCTGCCCTGGTGTCAAAAAATCCATTTGTAAAAAACACCTGTGTGCTTTTACCTGAAAAGGCTTCCATGCTGGTGTTGCCTTTATTCTCTTTGAGTCTTCTTCCTCTCCTGAACATGGGTAGGAAAGACAAGACTTAATCTCCCTGTGTTATCATACCAAGGCTTGTAATATTGACCAGCTTTAGCTGATATCTTGTCCTTTTATTTTAGGTTGCCTTTACCTAGGATTTTGTGCCTTTTTTTCCTACCCTGCTCACAAATGATGGTGGGGAACAAGAGTGCAAACTGTTTGCTATGACACCAATCAATCATAATGAAAATACGTAGTAAAGGGAGTGAATCTAAGGAGGAACTATTTATGCAAGATACTACTTCTACACACGTATTTATGAAAATTAATGCAATAGAATATCAATATGCTATATACAATACTCTACATTCATATTTTGACAATGCAGAACTTCTAATGTTTCAAATATACTGAGTAGTTCAGTAGGCTAGCACACACTAAAGCACCTACAGAAATGGTGCTTCCAAAGAATGGTGTTTCTGGATCACAAAATGCGCTAACTTTTGTTTTATTCCACAGAGTCATGTAAAGCACCTCATGTGGACATTTTGAATTACCACGCAGATAAAACTGTGTTCATGCCTGAAGATACAATTGAGTATGCATGTTGGGAGGGGTATCAACCTGCAAATAATATGCCAACTGGTACCGCAAGGTGTGGCATAAATGGTGAATGGAATCCAGAGCCCCAGTGTCTTGGTGAATATTGTTGTACTTGCGTAATTCTCTATATATTTTGTGAGGCTTTTTTCTTAAAGATTATTTTTTGTTTGTTCTGTTTAGCATTTTGTCTATTTTTTTGTAAGGTGCACGTTATATGTTAAAATATTTTGTCTTTGTAGCAATCGAATGTGAAATGCTGACATTGCCCAATGGAGACTTTTCTCCCAAGAAGGGTAAATACCGCAATGGAGATGTTGTGAAATTTACCTGTACAAACAATTACGTGAGAGTGGGACCTGCTTCTACTCAGTGCTATTACTTTGGATGGTTTCCATCACCACCTGTGTGTAAAGGTAATGATTCTGTTAACTTTGGTAGGAAATAGATGAAAATGCTTGGGTCCTAAAGTCTTCTGTGGACACCTCCTATAAACCAGTCTTGCTCCCAGGAAAAATTATCCCATCTTGTCTCTAAAAGGGCAGGAACTTTGGATCATTTCATGTGTTTTGCTGTTTTATGTGAAAGATTCTGAACAGTTGAACTTTCAATGCTGAACTTTCAGTTAGCTTTAGTTACACCAGCTGAAGTTTGGCAAGAACTGAAAGTGAGCTGGTAAATGAATTGTACAAAATTCTGCTCAGGTTATTGACTATAATGTGTGAAAAATTACTTATTTTTTTTTTAAAAGCATAAATAATGTGCAACATGGCAGCCAGGAGTGATTAGTCTGAGTAATGTCCTCTCTTACTGTATCCTAAATGTGCTACATTATGCCACTGCCTAAACGTTGATACTCATCAGACATTGTACCTTCTGTACCTTTTTTTGATCACATGACACTGAAAGAAAAAAAAAGCTGTTTTGGAGATGACACAGAGCTAGTTATTATTAAAAAACTGGGTTGGTTTTATCAATCACTTCTTTTATCATAGCAGGCAATTGACAATACATGGAAATAAGAGAGTAGAATGAGCCAGGATGATGCTTATCTGTTTATGATCTCCAGCCCAGCACAAATACAGATGTTCAAAGACATAAGCCAAGGACCTGTTTAACCTCTTCTACTGATTTTTCTTAACTTTAAATTACAAGTTCAATCTATTTTATGTAGCACTTCACATAAAACTGTGCTAAAAGTACTGAGTTAGTATGTTAGAGCATAGATTTGATCTCTTGATTTCAGTGAATGCCAAAGGCTGTGGACCTCCACCTGAGATTACCAATGGAAGTATTGCTGATACCTCTGTGAAACGGTCTTATCATGGGGACAGAAAGACATATCAATGCAACAGTGAACTGAAACTGGTTGGATCAAAGGAAATAGAATGTGTTGATGGGCAGTGGTCATCTCCTCCCTCTTGCATTGGTAATCTATGTAACTCCTATTTGTGAGAAGTCTGTAATTCACTGTGGGCTAATACTTTAAGGATATTTTCACAAATAGAATTACATATTTGCAGGTATAATACATTGTGTTCAAAATCACGTTATGGCTAAAAAGTAAATACACACTATGTAGTAAAGCCAAAACCTTATTAGTAATATAGTTGAAATCTTAGCAGTCCAATAAAATAATTGCTGTGATTATAGGAAGAAAATAAATACGTAATATAGAAAGAATAATTATAAATATATAAATAGTACGGAATATCTATGTAATGCAAGCAATTTATAGTATACAATTGCAATTGTTATATACACACTTTCTCTTATTTACCCCCTTTTCTGGAAGAAAGTACCCACTTTCTGTGATGTCATTAGGTGGCGTACATCAAACCTGCGGGTACCAGTGTCAATGACAGGAGCTAAAAAACTGCTTGTGCAAAACTACTCTTTGCTTGTTCAGACAGCGTCTCAGAGTTAAAGTAGAATGGAGTATTCAAGCAGAAAATCTGTAAATACAGAAAGTAATTCAGGGCATTCTTATGGCACAGGGTGATCTAACAGCACAACCAATAAAAGGTGCAGGTTTTATAGACTGATGTACTCTGTCCCTATACATATGCATTCTGGCACATCTTCCATGAGCAACACTGATTGATTAAAACTGTTCAGCATGGAGCAGAGGCTTGAAAGAAGAGGGGTCCAAACCTGAGTTCAGATTCAGTTTTTGAGTTTATCATGGGTCTTCCCTCTCCCTCATCCAGAGCAGGCATATGCCCTTATTCCCCTTTTGTGACTTTTTCCTGTTCAAAAAAACTCAATACTCACTTGCTGCCCTAGTGTGTGCTGTCACTACCACTGCAACACTGACAGCCCAAAGCAGGAACCTTCCTGTTGTCACACAGAGGTGACAGCGCTGCAGCCCTCTAAGTGATGATACTGTGATTTACAGTTCTTGTAATAGTACTAACTGCAGGTGCACATTACAAATGTGTAGCTGTATAATCAAATATAATTTTGACTGATGAGATCCAGGTGAGCTGGATTGATCCCACTCAGGGATCCGCATGAGCTGGATTAACTGAAGGTTTTCTCACACTTTAGGGTTTATATAACAATGAAAAACAGATTGAGGAAATTACTGTTAGCCGAAGGTACTTGTGGAGCATGCTGTGGAGTTACCACAGTGATGGAAAAGGAAGGGAAAAAACAGGAGAGGGATTTAGTACACTGACTCAAGGACATACATACTCCAGCTGCTGTTACAATTAATGGGAGTAAGTTTGCCTCACGAAATGCAAATATAGTTATTTTTATTTAAGTTCTTTCAGTATTCATATATGACTCCAGTATTATTGTGGAATACTTCTGCTGTTTTCAACAGAAGACAAAATGCCATGTGGATCTCCTTCCTCTATTCCAAATGTTGTTCTCCATCAAGAAGACCAGCCACAGTTTTCCCATGGTGATGAAGTAATGTGTGGATGTAAAGAAGGCACTGGCAGTTCTGAGGAAATGAAAATAAAATGTCTTAATGGGGAATGGGAGCCTTTACCGCTTTGTGTTGGTATGCTACATCCATACATAATATTTCTGTAATATTTCAGATCTGAGTGAAACATAAATCTATTTAAAGTTGAACGATTTCAGCTAGCGATACATAGCCAAAGCTACTATAGTTTCATGCATCTCAACTAAGTCCTTCATCCTGGAAAGACTCCACACCTACAACTGTGTAAGCACTCTGAGTAGGTTTGGTGAAGGGAATGGACACTTGCACAGTGGGTAAAATCAAGTATAGGTGTACAGGTGTGCATCCTTGGTATGTGGTGGCTTTTACCCATTTTCTAGTGTTCCTCCCTAGTAACAACCTTTCAGAAGCCTTGGGACATACCTGCAATAAAGTAGCATGCCTGCTGCATTAATTACTTGTAGTTTCATGTCTCTTTGTACTACTTTGATTTTTGAAACCCTACTGGGAATTAAAAATTACATTAATAAACAAAGTGTGCTAGGCTTATCTCATCCTCACCATTTTTATGTGGATTAGTCCTTTTCGCTTCATCAGTAGTTTTCTCTTTTTTCACATCTTTCCATTTAGTTTTGCAGTGCATAAGTTGAATGAAAATAATGCCTTTTACAAAGATATAGACCAAAGACTTTTCCTAAGAAAAAGAAAAAAATTACATTAGAGTCAGTAATTTAAGAAAAAGTCAATACTGGACAAGAGTAACTCTTGCCTGTGAAAAATCACTCTAGCCAATTGCTTGTCTTTCTTTAACAGAACGCATATATTCAGTTCTTGGTTCCTTCTTTATTCTGAAGTCATTTTATATTCATCAGTGATTTGAGACCTCTGTGCCTTTATTTACAATTACGCTGAGGTTTGAATCAGGCACAAAAGACGGTCTGATGAGCTCTCACAATTAGCTTGTGTTCTGACTCTCAGAATCACTGGTAGAGGGCGTTAAGACACAGTTATGACAGCAACACTTCAACAGGAGATTGATAACCTGATACATATACAATGTGGAGTAGTACTTCCTTTATGCTCGTGCTTCTACAAGCTGCTTCTTGCTCATCTTACTATCATTTTATAGTCTTAGGGAAGAAAAGGATTATTAGGTTTTGTATTGTTTACTGCACTCAACAAAAGGGAAACTGCCAGCGTAAAAATCAATGCTTTGTGAGGTGGAGCAGCCTCATCTTTAGATATCTGGAGCAAGCAATCATTCTGTTACTGTAATCTAGGAATCTTAGGGGTTATCTCACAGTACAGTAAAAAAAATAACTCTTTCACATGGACATGCATTAGGAAACTGATGACCTCTTCATCACAGAATGCATGTGTATGTTTTGGTGTTTTCGCTCTTTTTGTTGATTTTTTTTTTTCAGATCCATCCCCTCAGTGTGTTCTTCCAATGGGTATTGAGCTTCGCAAGTCAAAAAAGGAGCCTGGGTCCCCTGGAGTTATACGTTACACATGTACAACAGGTGACAGAAAGATTAAAAAGGCAGCTTGCGTGTCTGGAAGATGGTTACCGGAGATTGAATGTACAGGTATGGGTTTAGATTTGCACACTATTTCTTCTTTTTATGGAGGAATGATAAATGCTTATTATTAAACCTCCTTAACGTTGCTGTGTCACTAGTCTGATATAGGAATGCTTACATATACACTTGTATGTGTGCTTACTCAGTGATATGCTAAGGGATAGTAATGAATAATTACGGCAATCATTTAAACAGTTAACTGGGTTTAGAGATGCATGGCTTTAGTGAGCCAGACATAGTTATGTGTACTCTGACAGTGGAACAGTTGTCACTGCCACTTCTGATGTGAGGAAAGATGCAATGGCAAATTTCTCAGTTCTTCAAAAGGTCTTTACTGTGGTGCAAATGAGAGTAGCACATAGCTGAAGCTCAGGCCAAAGTTCCTTTATTTTCTGGAAGCACTCAAAGCTTTTCTAGTCCTGATTTTGCCTTTTTTTTTTTTCTTTTTTCAATTTCCTCCTATTTTTCCCTGTTTAGCAGAATATTGCCTGTAGAAGGCATGACTGTGAAACAATCATCACCTCACTGCCTGCTTTGATTATGCCAGATTCACGGGAAATGATGCATGGAAGTGGGAGGAGTAGACAGAGAGGCAGTCACTCAAGGGAGCATTCCATTTCAAAAACAAGTTTTCTGGAGCCACTAGAAGCAACAAACCAAGTGCCGGAGGTCTCCTCCAGATCTCCTTCTGAGATCTACCTCCTTCCCTCCCTTTTTCTCTACCTTGGTAGGAGCAGCCCTTTGTTCCTTGAGTGGCAAAATTGAAGTTTATTTCTTTGTTTCCATTTGTGATTCTTATTTAGCTCTGTTACCAGATAAGTCTGAAGAAAAAAAACAAACTACAAAGTGAAACAAAACGAAACAAGAACCTCAAGAGCTGGTCCAGTTTTCCTACGTTCACCATAGAGAGGAACATAGAAAGCACACAAGAGTGTGCAGCTGTTTGTAAGGGAAAGGAAGGACTACAAAAAGCTCAAGCTTTAACTGGTGTAGGCAACGGTCTCCTATAAGTAGGAAAGCACATAAGCGTCTGAAGGCAGCTCTGGCGTTTCTGAAGCAGAGCAAAGTGATCATGATTAATATTAATGAAAGCTTGAGATAGCTACTGAAGTATTATCTACTGCCAGTGTTTTCCTGGTTGTTTGTCTTGTAATCTGCAATGAACCGTTCTACTTTATCTTATGTTTTGTTATAACACGAGTATGTGCCCTTAGCTGAGGAAAGCGCATGCCCACCTCCACCTCAGCTGCCTCATGCTCAACAGACAACAGTTGGAAGGAACTACAAGAATGGGAGTAAAATAGCTTTTTCGTGTCTGAAGAGTTTCCAGCTCATTGGCATGAATGAAATAACATGTATAGAAGGGAAATGGCAATCACCACCTCACTGTGTGGGTCAGTAGTGGATTCTTTTTTCCTATTTATTTTGTTATGAATTTGTGTGTTATGCATTTACCATCATCATTAACAGGGGAATGGTAGTGTTTATGTTAATATTATCATGAACAGGTAACTGCAGAAAAGCAATAGAACAAAGTTGCTAAAGAAAGTGCAGTTAACCAACTGCTGGAGAGTAAATCTTTTCATGTACACAGACTATCTGAGGTGGGAAATGCAACTTTCAGGCAGACCCTCAAGAGCTGTGTGTTTATTTGTTTGTTTAGTATGATGCAGAATGGATTGGCACCGTTTTTACTGGTGGCCTTTGATAGTGTCATGTTGAAAATATCAGTATCATTTATTATTTAGTTATAGTAGTAGCAAACTTTGGTTTGGAGTTGAGATTTCTCTTTCAGTTTTTTCAGCTTCACAGAGATTTAATCCATTGTATGTATCAGGAAATACATTCTAATACTTCATCATTTCTCTTCTCTTTTTGATTTTGATTTTCATGTCATCACAAAACTCCACAGAACATTGGTGTAACTTTGTGAATGGTGGAAAAACGTAATGGCTATCATTCCAGAAACTCACCTTCAGTGTCCCCAGATAATGTCTCTTCTATTTCTCTGCCTATGAAATGTTCCGTGTTCTTCATGCAAAGATGTAACTGTATCTCTTTGCTTTGAACTAGAAATGGCTTTAATTTGGTTGAAAGGAAAAGAGAGAAACCCCACATAGAACGGAAAGGAGAGAAGGAGAGAAAAGTTTTGCTCTGTGTATGTTATCTATTTCTTCATCGTCCTTTCAAGCCAATTAATTTAAGTTTAGGTTACTTCTTTTTCTTTCCGCTTTTAAGACAGCACATGCCATTGGGATATTGTCTTACATTTATTCATCTGTGTTTTCTACATATATGTTTTAGAAAGACCCTGTTTTCCACCACGACCCATAGAATGCGCTGATGATCCCAGGCTGGAAAATCAAAACTTAAAAATTAAAAAAGAAGGGAAAACAATTTATCTGGCTGGTGCCAGACTAAATTATACTTCTCGTCCTGGATACAAGTTAGACGGACCATCAGAGATAACGTGTTCTATGGGAAACTGGACTTCAGCTCCTACGTGCTTGGGTAATATCAACAAATACTTGGTTTTTTGAAGTGCATTTAGCCATGAGATAGTAATAATTTGAAACAGGAGGTTCAATAGTAAGTGCCAGTAACTCCTTATTTTGCAATGGAATCTTATCAGCATCATGAATGTCTTCAGAGCAGTTCTGACTGGATATAAAACTGACTTTTTAAGTTCAGTTTAGCTGTTAAATTTTCTCTCGTACTCATGCAAGCTATGTTCAGTTCATATCTCTGCCAGGTGGACCCTGGACACATCCTCACAATGCAAGGTTCTGTTTACTACACTGAAGCCTAGGAGCTGCTTTGGTGCTTCAGTGGTGGAAACCTCTTCAGTGTAGTAGGGGACAGAAGACTTCTTTGTTAAAATTTTGTCTGGCATGGTTAGGAACAGGATCTAAATATTTCAGTGGCTGAAGTCCATGCCTGTTTAGAGGAATGATTATTTAATCTTCCACATGCTACCTATTACATGAAATCCACTGTTGGCAGATGACTATGATGATGTTAGAAAAAGCTCACTAAAGCATCTGTTTGGTGCAAACAGTACACTCAATTCTATGTCTATCACACTAGCACAAGCATCAGCTTTCTGTGTCTTTACAGAAATGCCATGTGGAAGTGTTCCAAAAGTTGCCAATGCTCAGACAGAAGGCAGAAGCAAGGACGTTTATGAGCCTGGTGAAACAATTCGCTACCAGTGTGATGTGGGGTTCCTGATTGTTGGCCCTCCCGAAATTATTTGCAGAGAAGGAAATTGGACAGCACTGCCCATTTGTGAAGGTATAGGTTCTGCTTCTAACTAGTCCATGATCCTTCTTGGTCTTTCATGTTGTGAATTAAAATAGTTTCAAATCCGGCATGCAGGTGAGTCTGGCCAATAGAGCCACAAGGTGGCTTGCTTTGGATGGGCTGCTACAACTCCTCTTTTTCTGGCTCCTGACAAACAAAAAGCAGGGTCTGTCAGCAAAGAAACGTTTCCTCTGTGGGCAAAAGCTAGTAGCTGAAGTTCGTCTCTCTGCTGAAATTAGGCAGGCAGAGGATTATGGAGGGATGGATGCAGGCTGCTAAGCACGTTGGTTGCTGAAAGTTACATTCAAACAGTAAATAAATCACTTAACTCTACAGCACTTTGACACGTCACACTATCACAGTATGCTAGAGATTGGAAGGGACCTCGAAAGATCATCTAGTCCAATCCCCCTGCCGGAGCAGGAACACCTAGATATGATGCTGTAAGGTGCCAGTCAGCACAATCGGTGCAGAGATTGGTGGATCTCGGCCACTCCTTTTCTCTTTTAGTCGCTCTAGGCAAAAATAGTGTTGTGTGGCAAAACAGTGCAGAATGAAGACCATAACATCTTACTTTCCTACATGTAGAAAATGATCTATAGTACACAAACTGCTTTTGTTCTTCAGGAACAGTAATGCTCTGGAATGCAACACCTGTGATTTTCATATTGCTCCTGCTCTACTGCTCTTTTCAGATGTTACGTGTGGAGTTGCACCTGAAATTCCCCATGCATACATCACAGGCACTCAACAGGAGAGGTATCTGCCTGGTGCCAGAGTGCACTTTGAATGCGAAAGCAATTTTCAGATGATGGGTGGAAATTATATCACGTGTACAAATGGAGAATGGTCACAAGCACCAACTTGCAAAGGTAGGAATCCGTGCTTTGGTATCGCCTGTTAGCACAGAGGGGACAGTTTCCCTAAACGCTAAAGACTTTACCGTTTGTACTCCTCTTCACTTTGTGTACCACAGCTTAGTACTTGCTATTCCTTCCTTGGGCGTCACTTTTTACTTTAGCTTAATGCTTCTAGAAATACTGGGGATCTTTTCATCAGTGCCAAAAATGTCTTGGAGAAGCAGAGCCTAAAATGTGCTGCTCTGTCATTCTGCTGTACGATGCTGCTGTTTCCCCAGAGGCTGCCATTTCGGCCTCCCTCTGTAGAAAGACGCATGAGGGCTCCTCTGTCCTGTCCAAACCCGCCAGGGAGCACCTGAATGGAAGAAGCAGTAAGGGAGGGAAGCGCTTGTTCTTCTCCAGGGCTCTGCTCTGACCGATGTGGATCCCAGCAGAGACTCAGATCTAAACCATGGCAGATCTGCTGGGGCCATGAAGTGGGAAGAGTGCTCCCGTGACAAGGAACAATCAGGAGCTGTGCTCCTGTCCCCTGCCCAAGTCTGTGGCTGCGCAGGGTGAACAAGAGCTCCTTGGCTTCCGCACATCTCCGTGGAGCTGAATGCGCTCACCCATCCCTGAGCAGCGCTGATGAGCTCATCCAGTGCTGCCACTCCTCCAGAGCTCTGAGCTCCGCAGAGCGCCAGCTTGGTGCTGCCCTGTGATTTCCAGGCATTCCAGGGCTCCCTGGGGAGGGACACGGGTGCGCAGGAAGGCCGGTGTGGCTTCTCGTGCAGCCAGGTGTAGCTACAGTAGAAACTGGCTGTTTCTGGAAGCTGTCACTGACCCTGCCTTCTCCTGAGGGTCCCAGAAAGAGAGTTCTCTCACTCCATTGCTACCTCCACAGTGAGTTCCTGGAGCT